CGAGCCCTGGTTTAGGGTCTAATGCTACTATTAACTAGTTTCATGAACATCCTGATGGCAGGGTTATATAATCACTGAGGTCCCGGATGTGAGGTAGGCTAGTGGTGTCCGGATAAAACTTTAATTTCCATGATCTACATACCATATGTGCATTTTAAGATGTTTTGAATGCCCAAAAAAAGATAAGATATAGCTTTAAAACTATGTCAGCGGGCAGTAGATTTGTCAATACCTGCTCTCACTTCTTATCCATTAGGCCGTTACTCTTTTTCTCTCAGTCTCCTCATCTTGCCCTGTCTCTTCCCTCCTAAAGCTGAACTTTTTTAATTTACTGTAGGCTACAAATTGTATTATATTAATTCTCAACATGTACACATTCATTATTAATATTGTGCGTAACATGATTAAAACGGCTTTGTTAATGTGTCTTGCCCCTCACAATGACAGTAAACTAATTATTACATTATGAGTCACGTTACACAGGCCTATTTTCAGTTCAAAATGGCGAAATTAGACAAAAGTACATTAGTTTGCCTGATTATTTTTGTCATTCGTTTAACATGTATGACCTAAAAAAAAAAAACTGTGAAATATGACATGTTTAGTTTAGCTACTTACATCTTAACTCGCACTTGACCGTAAACTGAAGCGTCGAGTCGCTCTGCTGAAATTCGCGCTCAGCAGCTTCTGTGAACATAAAGCCCGCCTACTTTGATTTGATTGGTCATCTCAAATATTCTGACATTGACGAGCGGTGACAGACCAATGAGGCTCAGATTGAACCTGAACACACACACACACACACTGTCTGTCCCCCGTTGACGATGTGCGCTCTAATCGCGCGCGCGAATCTGATTATAACAAGACTGAAGCGAACACGAATTTGTGTAGCTTACACTTAATCACACATTTCTAGGGGGGAATTTGATTACACTATTTCAGATAGCCCGTCGGGCAGACCGGTAATGCATTTTGGTAGCCGGACTGTATAGTTTGGTAGCCCCACTTAATCACACATTTCTAGGGGGGCGGCGGTCTGCCCGACGGGCTGTCTGAAATAGTGTAATCAAATTCCCCCCTAAACTTCTTGCCCGGGGTTTGGTAGCCCGACTGGAAAACACAATAGCCCCGGGACGTCGGCTAGCGATTTTGCGAGCCCTAGCTAGCCCTCGAGTTATCATAACCATAGCCCTTGGCCCTAATAAGGTAAATTGGCACTTCTTAAAAACAAATGACACTTAACAACCATAAACAATTAATAATAAAGTGTGTCACATCACACACACTAACGTTACCCACAAACACACATTCTCACACACGCAGACTTAAGCAGTGAATTACTATCCCAAAACAGCTATTTATTTCATCACAAGGGGTAACTTGTAAGCTGACCTTAAGTTGGCATGATTTGCCGCGATCTGTGCAAGTTAGTGCTGCTAGCATCGCAAAACAGCGAAATGTGGAGCTGCTCCCCCTCACGCGAATCCGCTGAATCTTCGATCCACTGTGTGACTTGATAGCGTTACGCCGTATGCGCCGTATGAGGTAAAAAGGCGGTAAATGCTGTTGGCGTCACTGATAGGTTATCAACGGAGGAAAAAAATGTTGTTGGCGTCGCTGATAGGCTATCAACTGTTACTGAGGTAAAAAGGCGGTAAATGCTGTTGGCGTCACTGATAGGTTATGAACTGAGGAAAAAAATGTTGTTGGCGTCGCTGATAGGCTATCAACTGTTACTGAGGTAAAAAAGGCGGTAAATGTCGTTGGCGTCGCTGATAGGCTATCAACCACGGAACTAACACAGTTTACTTCTACGTCATTGCTATTGTAGGCGTGGGGTTTAGCTGCCCGTGGATTGGTTTCTTTTTACAGTCTTGGTTTCAATAAAGACGATGGACTGGAAATATTGACGACTAATAACTTTTTATTGAGAGCAGCAGAGTCTAAGGCCCCATCCACACTACTGCGTTTTAGTTTAGAAACGGAGAATTAAAACGAATACGATCTCCGTCCACACCAGCGTTTTAGCTGCGTTTTAGAATTGATCTCCGTCCACATTAAAACGACTGAAAACGCGGATCACGTGACCATTCACCAACACTGGGCATGCGCTTGCCGGTGTAAACACAACTTCATTGATAAAATTGCTCTGGGTTAACCCCAAACCGACGCTCCATGTACGGTCAACGCCACCGCTGCACACGGGAATTATCACAGATCGCTCGAATAATAGCTTGACTCCGGCGCATGTAGGCAGTTATAGCGTTGTAAAATGCAGAATTTACTTGTACAACAGCTGCTAGCAAAGATATACGCCATGACTGATGACACCCAATCATAGAGCCGAGCGTGAGCCTCTACTACGTCATCGTTTCTAAAGTCCTCCGTTTTGACCCGTCTACACTAAAACGCCCTCCGGAGATTCAAAACGAAAAACGGATCGGCAGCGTTTCTAAACTTCTCCGTTTTGGGTCTCCGTTTTTGCCGTTTTAGTGTGGACGGGAGGTGCAAACGTAGCAAAAGGTCTCCGTTTTTAAACGAAAACGCAGTAGTGTGGACGGGGCCTAAGGAGAGAAGAGCAACAATACTCCTCGCTCGCACTAACTCTATTCCTCTCCCTTTTTGCACTCCCGCTTCTCATTACACTACACGATCCTCTCTCTGAGGATTCAACACCAAAAATATGTAAAAATAAAATACATTGAATCTTAAACAAAAGAAACTTCACACTATCAACTCCGACTCACTCAGGTCCTGTTAGCCGTATATATTTTTAAACTATGCTAGATGAAGTTAAAACATGGAGACACAAATATTAAGCAAAAAAATGTTAACTCATATATTGACGTGGTGGTGATGAACAATTTACTACCAAGTCAAATTGCGTTTGTTACCTTTTACTACCTTTCCAGGGCCTTAATTTGGTAGATTTGGTAAAATGGTAAAATTTTGGTAGATTCTTTTTACTACCTTTTACTACCCGCGGACACCCTGAAAATACTGCTGTTTACACTATGTTGTAGATAAGGTTGCGTCAAATATTGTGGTTGTTTATGATTCTTAAATTTAACCCTCCTCAGTTGGAGTTTATATACGAGGAGATTTCAAAAGCCGCACGACTTTGATTCATTCAAATGAACCGATTGGAAAAACAAATCGTTTGCTGTTCGGACATCCCTACAATACATTATATAAAAGTTTACACAAATACACTTAATGTTTCTCTGTTAGTATAAATAAGGGTGGACTTATTCAGACATTATGCATTAATAACAGTGCTGGAGTGTTTATTTTTATTCACCTATCAAAAGACGCACCATTCTTACCTCAGGAAGAAGGTCCTCTCCATGGGTTGGGGGAACTGCAGCACCCCCTGTTGACAGAGAATTTTAAATTATATGACTTGAAATAAAGTTTTTAGTTTTTCAGCAGGTTTTTAATTTTCCAACTTTATTCATAAAATTGTTCGAAATATAATTTCGTTTTTCGTTTGTAATTTTGAGAAATAAATATATTTCAAAAGTCGGACTACGCTACAATTATAATATTCAAACGAAAATCTCACCTAATGCTTTAAACATAGGCTACAGAGAGTTCTATCTGGTATAATTAAAGATGAAAAATAACTACTCAAATTTGGTAATTTTTGTTGAATGAACATATGATCTAAGTTTTATGTGTATTGTATCCAATCAATTAAGAAAAGGGTTAGAGTTTTGAAAAATGTGCATTTTGATCATTGGTTGTGAGTTTTGTGTCTACACTCAAAAAAATGCTGGGTTAAAAACAACCCAATTTGGGTTATTTGGCAACCCAGCGCTGGGTAAATATTGGACAGAACACATGCTGGGTTATTTTGACCCAGCAGGTTGGGTTTTATAACATTAACCCATTTGCTGGGTTGTTTTTTAGTCAGTGCTGGGTCAAACATGCTGGGTCAAACAACCCCATGTTACAGGTTATTAATTTTAGATAAGAAAAATACTAAACAAAAATAAAAAAATTATATGAATAACAATAATAACATGACTGTTTATTGATTCAATTAAAGTGTTTATTCCAGGAAATTAATATAATCATAAATAAATAAATACAATTTTAAATAAATAATAAATAAGTTCATGTTTAATCAACAATTAGTCATCTGCAGCATAAACTTAGGTCCAGAAAAATCATTTGTGCTAAAATGTTGGTATGTTAAAAGATTATAAAATGGTAAGATTCTCAAAATTCAAAACAAACAATGTATATTCATTGCAATCATTTAGTCCTGTGTAGCAAAATAAAAACACAAAAACTCTATAAACTGTAAAATAGCCTATAGCTAAAGATTCTCTTCACAAAAAAATACATTAAAAAAACCCATAAGTACATTGCAATTAATTTAAATAAGCAATCAATTAGTCTTGTGCAGCAAAAATGGGAGGCACATAAAAACTCTGCGTATAAACTGTATAAAATAGCTAAAGATTCTCTTCACACAAAAAATTACAATAAAATAAAACATATTTACATACATTGCAATTAATTTAAATAAGCAATCAATTAGTCTTGTGCAGCAAAAATGGGAGACACGTGAAAACTCTGCGTATAAACTGTATAAAATAGCTAAAGATTCTCTTCACACAAAATTTTTTAAATAAAACATTTACATACATTGCAATTAATTTAAATAAGCAATCAATTAGTCCTGTGCAGCAAATATGGGAGGCACATAAAAACTCTGTTATAAACTGTATAAAATAGCTAAAGATTCTCTTTACACAAAAATTTACAATAAAATAAAACATATTTACATACATTACAATTCACTTAAATAAGCAATCAATTAGTCCTGTGCAGCAAAAATGGGAGACACGTGAAAACGGTATACTTGAATTTTCCAGGCAGTGTTTTCACACTAAGTTAAAGATTAAAAATAGCTAAAGGATCTCTTCACAAAAATTTTAAACAAAAAAGAAAGAAAAATTTACATATATTGCTCAATTCAATTAATGGCTATCATTTAATCCTCTGCAGCAAAAATGGAGGCCCGCAAAAACCGTATGCTTGAATTTTCTGTCCCAGGCATTCCATACACTACCTGCTGCAAAAATTCCCAAACAGGGGCACATTGTTTTGGATAGTGAAGGTCAAAGCAATAAAATGACTTGAAACAAACATCCACAGCCTTGAGGAGAGTCACCTGTTCCAGAGCTTGCCCATTCACCACCAAAAAAAACTGTCCAGCCAGTCCAAGCTCCAAGACAAAGGGGAAGGGTTTCGCTTCTCTCTGCCTTTCCAGGTAAAGAACCATGTTGGTTCCAGACTAAATGAGGGAATGACAATATCAGACATAGATAATTATTTAAAAGTGTGTCTTAGGTTTTCATAAGAGCAGTCTTAAATCAGTTAAATAACGTCTTAAATAGGGCTGTGCGATATGACGATATATATCGGTTGGACGATATAAAAAGCCTATCGTTTCATATTATGCCATATCGTTTATATCGTGGTGTCACATTGTTTACGGCAAAAATTTGGATGACTGCAATCTTTCACGCCACCATGGGGATGCAGGCAGAAACGTGAATAACAGCATGAATGAAGGGGTGACAGAACCGGGTGTTTCCGAGCAGGAGAAGAACCAGCCAGAACAAACCGAGGAGCTCGTTCCTAAACGATGGTTTGGTTAACTTTCTATTTGTTGTATTGACCATTTTAGGGTGGTTTGGATAAATAAACGCCAGTCTCAAATAGAGGCCTGGTCTGTTTTTTAGTTTCGGTTTGTATTTAATCTTCTAAAACCCGTCAGATCGTCTGTTTAAACCAGTTCTGTGGTGCAGATTGCGCGCATCTGGACGGAGTTGTTCGCGCAAGCAGAGTTAGCGGAGGCCGGAGAGAGAATGAGATCGTTTTACAGGGTATAGCCTTCATTCTTTCTTGTTGATGTGTTTCGGGCAACAAGTTCATAAGGCTCGATGGATATTACCAGTAATGTATTGTTCAGCCCATGGCTGTCACATCGTTTCATTTTTTTTAATTCTGCCAATAATCTAAAAGCTAAGGTTATATTAAATGTACAATTATCGTTATGTATATACTGACTTCACCCTGTGCTGCAACCAGGGCCTGAAATTAACACCCGACCACCTGCCAAATGCGGGTGAATTTTGCTATTGGCGGGTAACACTGTCAATCTACCTGCCACATTGGCGGGTAGCCAATGAGAATTGAGTGATTCATTAGGGTTTTTTTTTACGTTTTCGTTTTCATTTTCATTGCGTTGGACCTTAGCTATAATGTGGCGGCACATTACTGGGGTAAAAAGGCCAGCTGAAACAAGCAACCAACAAAAAGATGAGGATGAGTCAAAGAAAAGTAAAAGAAGACATTTTAATACAAAGTGGTCAATTGGCGACAACGGCAAGGTTCGTGAGCGGCTGATTTATGACAGCGACTGTTGTTTCGTAACGTTCATACGATCAGAAAGAAGATGAGGCCCTTTTCTGACTACGTTTGGATGTGCCAGTATTGAACTGTTGGTGAGATGGGATGAGATAATGTAACGCTGACGTAGGCTCCAGAACAATGACAGTTGCACAGATGTGTGCATGTGCAACTGTAGTACATGTTGGGAGTTGGGAACCGGTGAGAAAATGTCCGGTACCCGGTAACTTTACCAGTAATAATATTAATTTAGTTCTGCTTAACGGTTCCTGAACGCTGTAACTAAAAGCTGTCAGGACCTAGCTGTCTACGTGACTAAATCAGCCATCAACACAGCCGCGGGTGATTTGTTTAACGTTACATACGAGCTGCGGTAGGTCTATAGATCTGTTGTGCGTGTGTGTGTCAAAATCAATGAATAAAAAGATTTTTTTTAAATGTATATTCTAAGAGTTATTATTACTTATATTGATTTCGTTAATAACTTGACAGCACTTAAATGTGTACAAGTTAAAGAACAATATTGTGAAATTCCCGTTTTTCACCTATGAAAATGAGGCAAAAAAAAAAAAAAAAAGGCTGGTAAAAAGTCTCTGTGGCAGGTGAATTTTGATATCCACCTGCCACAGTGGCTGGTGGTCAAAAAAGTTAACTTCAGGCCCTGGCTGCAACATACATTTAGTTGTACATTCATTTACAGAAATCAGCTGGTTGAATTTAAATTGATGCTGTTATCGGATTTTCAGGTGATATTCCCAATTCATTCAGTTAACGGACGCTCTGAGGTAAAGTGTTCAGACTGCAGACTAAGCAACGATTGTATTTAATTGTACAGTACTATCATAACATAGTACAGACATGATCTTAATTCCATAATGTCCTTAAACATAACAATTTGCTGGCCATAAACTGACAGCACGCGTCCGGTGTGCGATACCTCGAGTTGCCATAGACACGGCGCGCGCGCTTCTCGTCCGGTGAGCGACCCCCTTTAGACATAATAAAGTAGGCTAGGCTAATTCTTAGATTAACGGATTTGTTAAACACATTTATAAATAAAACGTAATCTTCGTTATCTCTAGGCCTACACTAAATGAAAGGCCTGTCTCATAGACGCCTGCCTCAAATACAAGCCGGTGCAGATCGGCGATTTGGGAAAATAAAAGCCCGGGCTATTATTTGAAGTTTTACAGTATATCGTGATATATATCGTTATCGGGATATGAGATGACTTCTATCGTGATATGAGATTTTGGTCATATCGCCCAGCCCTAGTCTTAAATTAACTTAAAGAGTTGTGAGAAAATGAAATGCGTGTCAGATCCAAGCAGCAATAATAGCGATTATGATTAAAACGATTTATCGTGCAGCCCTACAAACAAGTGTAAAGAAATGAGCCTGCTCTGTTGTCCCCTGTTGTTTTACTTACAGGTTGTACATCAATGAATGAGTTTCTTGCTTCTTGAATAGTTGGCCGAAAGGTTTTGTGGCCAATCTTGTACACAGGCGGGGGAAGAATGACAGGCAAGATTTTAAGTGCTAGTATGCCTTTGGAATCTAAGTAGAAATAAATGGCAAATTAGAAAAAGGGCAATTCATGACCCCTTTAAATGCAATAATTTCTTCTGTTTTTAATTTAATATTTCTCCTAACCTGCAGACATGTTGTCTAAATTATTGAGGACATCCATCTGTCGTCCATCTCTTTTAGCAAAGGCCAGGATCTTGTCAGCAAAGACAGGCAACCATGATAAGCACATTTTGTCTGCAGCATCAGGGTGAAGTATACTGAAGTCCTGAGATATCTGTTTTTGGGAGGAAAAAAAGTCATTTATATTTTTGTCTTTTTTTTTTTTTAATTGCTGCATGTGAGGCTAGCATTTTATCATAATTAATGTTAATTAATTATAAATAAAAATAATATCCTTCAAACCAATGGGAGAGGAAGAGAGTTAAGAAGATATTGAGTTTACATTATATTTACCATGCCTGGGGTGTCCATGAGACGAGGGAACTCTGATAAAACTTCAGATATTGGCTTGGAGCCATTCTCACGAATCCAATGAGCCCTAAAAAGAGCAGTTTCTTTCATATACTGCTCCACTTGGTCCTGTGGTCTGGTATTGTTTTTTAGCCATTCTTTCAGTTGAACTGCCCTCTCAGGAGACAAAATTGAAGCTGTTGAAAGGTAGATAAAATATAAAGTCATACTGGTAAACTAACATCAGCACATGTAATTCTTGATAAAGTATATAAACAGCATATTCTAATCTAGGGCATTTCAGGGCCAGTTTTATAGTGAGGCTGCCCTCTGACCATGGAGAAAGGTTTGCTACATTTTAATTGGATGAAATAAACCAAATCCCAGACCCAAATCCCTTGTCATTAGTGTATAATGTCAGCATTTGATTTTCTATATTTTTTTTCCAACCATGTTAACAAGTTAGAGCAGTTGTTCTTAAACAGTGAGTGAGTTCCAGTCTTCTTGCTCTTGATTCGCATTAATGGCTCAATCGTTTATTAGACGCTGCCCCTTTAAGACGAGTGCAGATCTAATAAGTGACTGATGCACCATCATTTTCTCCCAACTGTTTACGTCCATGTAAGACAAACTGTGTTTCAGTGAATCTCAGAGCTGGTCATTTTTATATTTTATGTATATTTGATAGTTTAGATGCGCACATGAAGCCCAAAGTTAAGTATACTTTTCTTGTCTCGTTGCAGTTAATTTCGGAGCGCGCGTCGCCTTGTGAACAGCGTCTCTTGGCAGATTTTTGTGCGTTTAATAACTCTTTTAATGATTAAACGCGTCCGCAATTTAGCATCAGTAGAGTCTGCATTTTACAACAATCACGATCGTGCTGATTCTGACAGTACGTTTGGGTTTTAGGAAGAAATGACAGCGCATCGCTGTGAAGGGAAGGAAGTTGCTAGACAGAATGAGTTGTAATGGTTTCATCTCAAATATCTTTTTTTCTAATCTTTCAAAGCCGAAATCTAAAATAAAATTAGAATAATATCCCAGATCTAAAGTTTAACCACGTTTGAATGTTTAGTTCTGTCCTCATTGTTAGGCTACTCATTAAGCAGGGCTGTGTGTTGTGCGCGCTGTGGCTACGCGTGAGATCGCTCTCTCTCTCTTCTGGACTGCGAATAGCAAAATTGCATCACAGACAAATGGTTTAATACTATCATATATAGAAATGGCTGAAATTCAGCCCCGGGGCCCGTTTAATACCGGGTTTCGGTACCAAGCGCGAACAGTGAATGAAACGAAGCGAATGTACAAGCCATAGTGTGACATGCGTAAACCAATGGCGTAAACAATCATAGATGACGATGACGCCGCACGGGTTTTTATTTAAACGAAAGAATGTAGCCTACGTTTGTATGTAGGCATAAGCAACTTTCACAATACTAACTAAAATATAATTAATATTATATTATAATTTGTATTAGTTGTTTGAAGAGTAAAAAAAAAATCAGTCGGTCTTAACGCAAGTTACAACCGGCAAGTCGGTCGGACTAAAAGGGAAAAAAAATAAAAATAATTGGGTCGGTCCTAAATTGACAGGGTCGGTCGGGTTACGGCAAACAAGAATATTTTTAAGGATGGCCTCAATGATGATTAAACTTTGCAATTAAAGTCAACTGTATGCTGATTTGTAGCGAAAAAGAAAAACTTTAGTGCTTTGTGTGAAGATTACGACATAAGAAATTTTATTACCTGGAATAACAGTCGACCTCTTCTCACAGATAAAAGCCACAGAAGATGGTGTTCTTAATCGGCGCATTCTTTTCCTAATATTGCGAAGGCGCTCCTCAAGAAATCCTGTGGAAGGTCTGTGCCTTTGCCCCGGGCTGAACCATGCCTCCTGAAAGATGATGTTATTGAGTTATGTATTAAATTTTAAATTTGATTATCTCAAACACAAGACTGCTTCATGAGTGAGCACAAATAATTCCAATAGTAGACACACACTGCAAAACATACACAATCATATGGGTATAGACATGATTGGTTGAAGACCAGAATAACTCGGCCGGACAGGAAAGTTTAGTGACTGCGAATAAAGTAAGATGCATATACTCACATAGCCATTGCCTTCAGGGTCACGCAGACAGGAAAATGTCTCTACTAAAGAGATGGCCATTGCTTTTTTGGTCTCTGTTGATGGTCTGCATTGATTGTCAAATATGAAAGGAAAGCTTGTTATTTTCAATTTGAAAGTTTCATACAGTTAAAAAAGAAAAGCCACTACTCACGTTTCGCCATATTTCTCAATAAGATGAGCAACAATAATTCGCACCATTGCACGCCTTTGCTGGGTGGTAATTGTATTACTCTCTAGGCTCTCCACAATAGAGGGTCCATGTGGGGCTTTCATCAGTACTGCACGGATATCCTGGGGTACATAGCAGAGTTGACTTTTTGATTGCAAATAGTATATTTCATGTTATTTTACAAGACGACTGTCATATCTAATTCAAATTAGTTTTAGAAACATACATGCGTATCATCTGGAACAAGCTGAAGAACAAATGTTGGCTGTGTATTTTCAGGTGAAGTGCATCCAAATGTTGAGACTGTATTTTCAGGAGAAGTGCTTGGCTGCGTATTTTCAGGAGCAATGCTAGAGTGTGGTGGGATACTATTCTACAAAATGAATAAAAAAAAAAAAAAAAACTGTTTAAGCAAATATATGGTTTTCAAACAGTTTTCTACATACTGTACATTAAAAACTAGGGCTGCACGATACAGTATATTGTTTTAGAATCGTTATGTCAAGTATAGGAACTTAATATTCAACAATACTTTTGATCTGTCATGGACACCATTATATGAGAACTAAACTGAGCTGGACGATGACATCACAGTTTTCTCCAGAATGGCTATATAGATTAATGAACTGAATTAATAACTTTTGATAAATGAATCAACACTGAACTTTCTATTGTATTTACCTCTGCTTGTAATTTGTTTATTATTTTCTATGCAGATGAACTCCCCTTCAAAATTACCCCAATTATCCTAGAATGATTAATTCTTTACAAATAGAGCTATTCAGATCATCTGGTGAAATTGTTTTCATATCGCAAAATATATAGCAGAAAACCAAAATATTGCATTGTCCTTTTTTTTTTTCAATATCGTGCAGCCCTATTAAAAAAAACACTACATTGTACTATAGCACAAGAGTACATTAAAACTGAATTAAAACATATTTCACTTTGCATTTTTTCCACTCACTCAACTGCCAAGCCTGAATTGTGCAAACATTCTATGCCAAAGCTGTACAGGTCCTGACCACTGTCTCCATATCTGGTTTGTGAAGAAGGCTCCTGTTTCTAAGAACTGTATGCATGCTTGGAGCCAGATAATGATGAAGCTTGCCTGATCTCTCCCCTAACTAAGTAACACTGAATACTAAAAAAGTTCATTTTGATTTGACTGTTTCAAACAAAAAATGAATTCCATTGTTTTCAGATAATTAAAACACCCTGTATCGGAGAGATACATAGAAACAATCGTCCTTTTTTCTGAATGACTGAACAGCATGGAGGGGATGATGATCAGTGAGGTCAGTGACATCAATACACGTGAATACATGAGTGTATTGCACAGCATAGGCAAACAAATGCCTTTCAAATCCAACAGTTTCAAACTTTTGAATCACAAATTTCAGTTTGGAGTCAAAAGCCAAACAGTGTCTTATATGTCCAAACTGGGGGTCACCACTTGAACAGTAAGACACAAAAAGTGTCATACCTGGCCTATATGTGGTTCCTTTAAATTTCACCCAGGCTGGTACATACATTTCTGTGTGGGCTGGAACATTTTCCAAGCCTCCTTGGATATCATGACATCTCTCAAGGTCTGCAAGAATAGTGCTGTGACCTGGGCCCACTTCAATGGGGTGATCAAAGACATTTCCAGAAAAGAAATTGTAACACAGCATTACTTGATGTCTAATGGCCATAGTTTTACAGATATTCTTGAAGTTGCATGTGACATGGCTTATGCGTTTAAAGAAGTTATGCTTTGCTTCAAACCGCATAGTCCAATACTGCATCAATGGCCCAAGCTGTCTTATGGCTCTTGGATAATGCAACATAAAAGTGGTGTTTAGGTTTTAGATGTTGCTGTGGGTACAACTCAAGGAACATAGTATGATGTTCCTCTATGAGCCACTTCAAGTAGATCGTACTTTCAACAGTGAGAGATACTGAAAAAATCAATTCCAAGCAGGAAAGGAGGAGAAGCAGTAGCTGCCAGAACCTATTTGACTCTGGAACTAGATCTCCCATCATTAGAGGCAGCAGTCTCAAAAAGCACCACATCTGTGCTGCTGTCTGTTTCATGGTCCCATCTTCTTTACGCAGGTAATTCTTTGTAATCAGAGAAGGCTTGTTGTGGGCATCACTGAAGCCGTAATCAAAGCTGGTGATCCTGCAATTTAATGTATCTAATTTGAAGTGTCCTTCCTCAATCAGTGAGTTTATGATCAATTTCATTTCATCGCATTAATGCCATAGGTTTTGGCGTCATCAGTTTTGTAGACTGCCAGCAGAAAAAGGGAGGATAAGCTGGAAAGCAGCTCTTTCGGTAAACATTTGATGGCAAAATACATAAACCCTACTTTGTGGACAGATGTCTTTGAGCCAAGTGGATTCACAGTCTCTACATCATCAATATAAATAAGGAGAGGAATAGAGACCTCCTGAGAGAACAGGGCATGGTTTTGGCAGAGCTCACCATCACAAAAGTCTTGCAGGAGACCATTAGTGCTCTTCTGCCATGCAACAACCTTGGACATGATGCCTGGTAGTTCAAGTATCTTTTTCAGGAGTGGTCTAAGTGGAATGCGCTGAAACGTGTCACTCTTTGAAATTTGTTTTACTGTACCACTGCTGGAATCTATGTGCTGAACATAGGAAATCCCAGGGAAAGTCTCCTCTATTGGCTGAATAAAGTTTCCAGACTGCATAAAATATTTCATTTGCCTATATTCAGTCTCTAGACCTTTGAAAGGCTCAGATGCTGCCTGGAATTGATGGTTCAATTCCTGTGCCTCTATGCTTTTGTCCTGCCCAAGAGCCTTAAGGAAAGACATAGTTCTATCCTGAAGCTTGGAGACTATATCTGACAACAGACTTGAGGTTTCTTGCACTGTAAAATTTACTGCAGAAAAAGTCTGTGAAGACTTTGATTTGAGTTTTGCCAGGAAAAGAGCTACCCTATCTGTCATATCCTCTTCCTCCAAATCATCCATGTCACTGACCCCACCAATGTCAGACTCTTCCATGCATGAATGCTCTTGAGCATCCAGTGCCTCAAATGTTGAAATGGGTGCTTGGTCAGCATTACATCTAGATGCATTGTTAGTCTCATTGTGGGCATTATTGTGTTGAAATAAGTGCCTTCTGTACGACCTCATATAAAAAAAAGTCCTCCGACAACCATGCTGATTGCATTCAAAATGTGTGGAAGCACTGTTAATACTGTGGACTGCTCTTAAGTGGGTAAAAAACTGTTTCAAGTCAGCTATGATAGCTTGGCATCGAAAACACCTATAATGCATTATAGACTTACAAATTTCAGTTCTTTGAAATGTTTTAAAAATTTTAACCGCACGCCAATTTTGGGGATGAGTGTTGCAATTGTGTTCTCATCCAGCAACAGGAAACTGTCATCATCTATCTGCTCATCTAAAAGGAAGATAACACAAACAAACAAGGCTATCTATGAAATTACACTGACATTGACTAGGCACAGAAGTGGTATCCTATGCCAGCTCTACAATATAAGTGATTTAAATTCACCCTACAGGGTTTGACACTAAGCCTTGTCATGTGCTTGTACTTTGGACAAGTAAATTGCCCATTCATGTTTTTTATCTTATTGTGAATGGTGTAGCAAACTTGGTTAAGTGGTAGGGCTGGCACTGGATGCAACTGTGAAAAAAGATTACCTACAAAGAAAGGGAATTTGAAATTCAAAATTGTTCATCACATATTTACCTGCAAATTTTTCAATAAGGCACTCAAGATTCCAGTTGATGAGTTTTTGTTGAACAAAACTGTCCATTGCTGTAAAAGAACAGAAGGAAACATCTGATTAGTAATATCTTTACAAAGTTAGCTGACAGTGCTAACAAGTCTTATACCTGATTTTAAATTTTATTTTTGTGCTGGCTCCCGTTTTTTTTGAGCTGGCTTTTTTTTATATAAATCTTTTTAATGAATCATTACTTAATTAAAAAATAAAATAAATAAATAGACAAAATGATTTTTAACAGCTTAATTAACAGAAGAATTAAACAGAAGAAATGTTAATTTTGTGGATAATTCAAAAATATTTTATAAAATCACCTGCAGATATTTCATAGAATATTTTTTATTAATTCCAATGTATTAGTCTATTCGTATAACGATCGCCTGAGAGCATTGCGCCCATTGACTTATTTGATTGCAGTTTCAAGATAGTAAAAATAATATATACATGTTAATTTATTAATGTTTATTATATGATCATCATAATTATTTTAATGATTGTGTACCAAATTGCATGACAAACCAAAATAATAAATTGTATTGTTTATTACATAAGCCTGGTTTCTCCTAAGGTTTTTTTTTTCCTGTCACCTGATGGAGTTTGGGTTCCTTGCCACTGTTGCCTCTGGCTTGCTTAGTTGGGGGCACTTAATATATTCAACAATATTATTATTGATTTGATTGCACTGACAATATCAGATGAGAACTGAACTGAATTACTTTTTCAGAGCTGCTTTAAGACCAAATTGAACTACAGTAACTACTTCATAATTTATTATCTTTACACAGTTTTTTTAACGTAACTGAAGCAACACTGAACTGACTTCAGCTGAATAATGACAGTTTTTGATGAGAATTGTACTGAGCTGGACGATGACATCACTTTCTGGCTCTGCAGAGCTGCTTTATAGCCAAATTGAACTAAGGCGCACGCACCCAAACACAGTGAACATACTGCAACATAATAAAATATTTTATGTAAAGCTACCTTACGAAAATGACTAACAAAAACAGATGAATAATAGGTAGACTTACAGCTTCTTTAGCATATGCAGCCACTAGCCAGTGACGTTATACTGCATCCAACACCGCCGAGTCAGTTTCAAGTACAAGAAACCCGCAAAATTTCTGGAGATAAAACACCAACAACTGTATTTAGACATTGTGACTGTTATAAGTGGAATAACTGATGACAGACCGTGTAAAAATAATGAATGTTATGTGTACCGTTAGCCAGTAAGTTAAGTTAGCCTAACGGTCGCTAGTTCGACAGACGCAAAAAATAGAGCATTCGTGTTAAATAATGTTGTAAGGGTCCGTCGTCAATAATTCATAGTTAATTTCAACAACTTATTATTAACTTTCTGACTTAGTTGACTACTTAACGTTAGGATAGTTTTTAAAAAACAGTGTTACTCACCTTTACACTCGCTCCTGCTTGAACCTCTCGTCCTCCTGTTGAGTGTTGACGTTGTGATTTGAAAAGTTGAGGACAAAAGCGCGCGAGGAGGTAAGCGCTGGGTCAAAGATTCCGAAACAAACCCAAATGCTGGGTCATTGTCAGCTGATTACGAAGAAAATAACCCAGCAACATAGCAAAAATGCTCAACCCAGCATTTGGGTTTAAAAATAACCCAGCATTTTTTAGAACTCTATAGAGTTGTGAAAAATGACATCAAGGTTCTGAAAATAGTAACAAAGTGATTGTAAAAAACTGTAACAAGATTTAGAATAACGTTTCCAACTTTGACAATATAATTATACTATAACTCAGCTATAAATATAAAAAACACTAACAAATATGTTTGCCTATGTAAAATATATAGAAGGCGGGTGTAAGGAAATCGTCCCTATATCTGACTAATGCTTTCCTTCCTGCAAAAAGGCTGTCTCCCTCCACACTCAAAGTTTATGTTGCCGCTACATTTACAAGTTAATTTTAAAATGCAAAGTATTGAAAGCTCTGTAAACACTTGCATTTAACAAAATTATTAGTGTGTCTAATTGTGTAAACAAAAGTTTTTCCCATACTTGTAGTCTTCACACATACTTGAACACGTGGGCAAAATACAGTAAATACATCATGCAAGTAGACAAGTGTTCAAGGGCACAGACCGCAAGTGTGTGTTTGAACACAAGAGAGGAAGCTGTGAGAATAACAAAGACGAGCTTTTGTGGTATAAAAGTATATAAATGTTTATTTTGTTATAAATGTCCGCTGGTTTGTCTAGATCAGACTCTTATTCCTCGGCTGGATCGTGTCGAGACTCTGAAGCTGCACTGAAACTCACATCTGGACCTTCGACCCTTTGGACCCCATTGAAGTCACTATTAGGAGAAACACCTGGAGTGTGTTCCTCAAAAACCTTCATTTCTTTTCCACCGAAGAAAGAAACACATGAACATCGTGGATGACGTGGGGGAGAGTAAACTATCAGGAAATTATAATTATGAAGTGAACTACTCCTTTTAAAAAGAAAAGGCAACCAATAAAAATGTCAAAAATATTGTAAACATTCATAATATAACACAAACTATGGCAGCATTAGTGATACTAACACAACACTGCTAGTCAGAAATAATCTTTATTACAATGTCATCCAGTCTTACAGAAGATGTGTGGAAGGCACTAGAGTGGTTTGAATCATCGTTGACGTAAAACTCGTTCCCCTGAGCATTATTATATCAGCTAATATCGTACAGTTAGACGAGCTCAATCCATGAGGATCTGCATTAGTGGAGGTGTGAGTAGATCAAACAGCTCATTATCAAACACATACAACAGTCCCGATCGCTTACTACAGTACACATAGGAACTTAGACCATCAAAAATCTCCCTCATAATATCAAAAATATTGCTTTTTTTATATTACACATATTACAGATAAGCAATAACAGCTACTGTCACCGGTCCAGTAAGGCAGTGCAATGTTCAATAAATTAATACTTCATTTAAAACAGTGTTTTTACATCAGATAATACAGGAGAAAATTATTTAAGTTTTTGAAAATAATAACCTTAACGCACAGGCTGGTCTCTGCCGTGTCCTTCAGACGTCACAGTGAGGAAAGAGCACCGTAACACTGGCGTCCATCACAGGTCAAAGGTCAAACACGCCTGAGCCGTGATCGCAGGAGTTCAGCATCACTTCAGATCTCAGAGTCGTGTCGTGGTTTTCTTCACTCTCCCTCGTGTTGTTATTCTCTCCGCTGAACAGATGATCACTGTTTTTGATCATCATCATCTCGAGTTACTGTTGCACATTAAAGACCCGCGGTCGTTCACTCACAACACTGAGTGAATTATTCATTTCTGTGGGAACTAATGCAGAATGCTTCATTCAACTAAATTATATTAGACAAAAAAACACATAACTGATTCAAAGGCATTCAATGGGGAACAACACTGTGAAACACAGTCTGAAACCAGCAGTTCTTCTGTTGCTCGCTCGGATTTAAAGATGCTTTTCTCCGTGTTCATCTGTGTTCAGTGTGTGATGTTGCTGTTTGAGGATGAGAAAGCTCCAGTTCGTCTCTATATCAGTGTCAGTGTTTCTGAACTCCTGAAACGCCTCCATTGTATCTTGAGTGTCTTCCGGGAACGAACACGTCACAATATTCCTCATTATAATAATTAATGTGCAGAATAAAGGGGCGGGGCCTGGTTGAGTTAGTTAGTAGTGTGTTAAACTGGTGGTTATGGTAAGGGGCGGGACATTTCCCAAACACACTCGACCAATCACAACACACTGCTCCAGCCGACCAATCAGAGCACAGTGTGCTTTTCAGAAGGAGGGGCTTCATAGAGACAGGAACTAATCAGGAGTGTGTTTCCCGTACAACACCGTAACTCGCTGCTTCACTACTATAGTGTCACGGTTCATGAATTCGCTGTCTCCTTCTCGTCTCATGTTGTGCGTGGGCGGGGTCGCTGATCACCGCGGTTGATTGTTCCAGCTGCGCTCTATCTGCGCGTCAGCTGTGGCTGATCAGTGAGCCCTATTTAGTCCCTTTGTTTTCTCCCTGTCTTTGTCAGATCGTTGTTGGATGTTCCAGTGTTACCCACCTGTCTCTTGTTCGCCGTGTTCCTGCCTGTTCCAGTCCTGTTCGGTTCGTCGGTGTTTTGGCACTTCTGTTTGGTCTCCTCGGATTACTTTCACCTGCACGTCTGGATTGTTCCTCCTCCTGCACTCTCGGACTGTTCATCGCTGCTCATCCTGCGAGACCCCACAGCGTCCCTGTGCTGCCATTCGGCCGTCCCACGGACTTTTGTGCATCCACTAGTGTACTACAATAAACATCCAGCTTTTACTTGCAGTTGAATCTTCTGTCTATTATTCTTAACATATAGTACGATACATCGTGGAAGAAATCAACAAGCTAGTCACAAGCATAGACAGTATAAGAAGTGGACAGAGCCATCTCATTGGAACTCAGTTGAGACAGTTGAAGCCCATTTTTAGCGATTTTTGAGCACTTCCGTTCCTGACGCGCAGACTCAAACCGACTCAAACTAAGCTTGATGACGTGAGCAACCTGTCTGACAGACGTAAATCTCCTAGTAGCTGTGCGTGAAAATTGCCAACGTTAATCTTGCAGAGACGGGGAACTTGAGCAAAGAGTTCTTTGGCGTGAGTGAGCAGAAGTAAGTATTCCGTTGCTTTTATGGACTCATTATCTATGGGCTTCTCCCTTGACGGGACGTCCCCCCGATTGCCTGCGAGCTTCTCCTCCTGTCTGTACGGTAATTTTAGTTGTCCAAATTCCATTTGTCATTATTTATTTCTAAAGAAACACGACAATGTATAAAAGGCTCCATTACCTTGTATCTTACGTTATGGCCCCGTAGAAGCCGTTTTTGTAAAAATAGGCTACTGATTGCGTCATAACCAATCGACTCTCTGTCGCACAGTAGAGAAATTACCGTACAGACAGGAGTAGAAGCTCGCAGGCAATCGGGGGGACGTGGAGGCATAAAGTCAAGGGAGAAGCCCATAGAGAGTCATAAAGTTGCTCCTGCTGCTGCTCATGGACAGCTAATACTCACGATCTCTGTCTCTGCGAGATTCGGAAGGGAATGGTTCGGATTTCTCTCGGCACAGCTACTAGGTTGCTTACGTCACATCTACGTCGTCAAGCTCAGTGTGAGCCAGCGCAGTCGCTCAGCCATCAGGAAGTGAGTGCTTCTAATGGGCTTCACTTTTGGGGTCGCTGTGTCCATTTCTTTTACTGTCCATGGCTAGTCACGACTGTTTCCCGAAACCGTAGTGTCGCAAATTTGTCGTTCAACCACGTTGATTAATGATGTCATGCAGGTGATGGAGTAATAACTACTTTTAATGAATCTGTTTGAGATTGAATCAATGTTGAAGATGTTTTGATATAAATTACCTTAGAATTACCTTAAATTATCTTAGAAGTAATTCTATTTTTTCTCAGTTATTTTGCTTTATTTCCAGATTCAATCACAGGCTTGTTCTTACACACTAGAGCTCGTTCACACATGCGCACTCTCCAAGAACGACTCTTTAAATCTCCTGACAAACTAAAATACTTAAATGACATTTATGTATTCTAAATTAGAGATTGTACTGAATGTCAGATTTCTTATTTTGCTCAAGATAAGGATTTATTGAGTCCACATGTCATGAAAACTAGAAACTCTGCTTCTAACCACAGCTCGAGATCTGTCGCTCAAACACACAACTCTGCGATGCTGATGCAAATGTTCGTTGGAACGATGGTTTCAGGAAACACAGACTCGTTGTCACACTGCCGATAACTACGAAACTTGCGACCATAGTCTGCTAACGATTCTTTTGGGAAACACACTCCAGAGCGTTACTGACAGACTGGGAAGAGAGGAGCCGCAACAATGGAGAATATGGGGAATTTCACGAGTTCACACTTACATATAATTTGAGGAAATAAGATTTAATGCGTATTTGGCGTGCTGTCCGGAGGGAGGCCTCCGAGCTCGGAATTCAGCCCGAACCCAGAGTACTCCCCCCGTATGTAAGTGATTTTTTGAACTAGGAGTGTGGAGAAGGGGAGGAGGGGTGATGCTGCAAACTGTCAATGGATCGAGGTAAGCCTGTTGAGTCTATATGTTCCTTCTTATCATTGATTGCTGATTGCTGTCCACTCGTGTTAATTATCTGACACCGGCTCAGGAACAGCCGACACCGGCTCAGGAACAGCAGACACCGGCTCAGGAACAGCCACAAGAACTGTAACAGTCACAAGAACAGACACAAACACAGAAACAAACACTGGCTCTGGAACAGCCATTGGCTCCAGCTCTGGAACAGGCACTGGCTCTGCCTCCGGCACTGGCTCTGGAACAGGCACTGGCTCTGGAACAGGCACTGGCTCTGGAACAGGCACTGGCTCTGCCTCCGGCTCTGGCTCTGGAACAGGCACTGGCTCTGACTCCGGCTCTGGAACGG